GTCCCCCCTTACCTGGGCTCCTCGGGGGCGGTGGGCTCCAGCATGTCCCCCCCTTTGAGCAGCTTCAGGGCCACTTCTGCCGCTTTGTGCTTCGCCGCCTTCTTGCTGGGCCCCTGCCCTGGGGGAGACACCGGTTGAGCGAGGGTGGGGGGACGCCTGGGTCCCCCCAGGCCCCTCACAGACCACAGGCTGTGGTTAGGGCTGCCACAGCCCGGGGGGGAGTTTCAGCCCGGGGGTCAGGGTGCTGGGGGATCCCTCTGCCATAACCCCGGCAGCAGGGTGCCAGGGGGTCCCCACGTGTCCCAGGCATCGGGGTTCTGGGCGATCCCTCACCAGGACACACTTTTCGGGGTCCCAGGGAATCCCCAGGCATCCCAGGCATCAGGGTCCCAAGCAATCCCCGACCAGGACCCACTTTTTGGGGATCCCAGTGAACCCCCATAGCACACCCCAGATGTTGGGGTCCCCAGGAGGTTCCCTGTGGCACAGTGCAGGCTTTGGGGTCCCAGGAGATCCTCCACCACAACCCACTTTCTGGGGTCCCAAGGGATCCCCGAGTGTCCCAAGCATCGGGATCCCAGGCAATGCCCCCACCAGACCCTATTTTTTTTAGGGATTCCAGGGGATCCTCCATCAGGACCCACTTTTAGGGATCCCCCAGCACATCCCCACCATCCTGCGGATAATCCCCGTGTCCTCACTGTCCCTGCCAACGTCCCAGGTAAGCGAGATCCACGCCCTCCGGCGCCGGGAAGGTGAGGAGGGGGGGGGACAGCCTGGAAGCAGAGGGTGTCGGGGACCCACCGGTGCAGCTGATGTCCCCAACGGTGACACGGAAGGTGAAGTTGGGCTGGTGGGCTTGTCCCTCGGCCTTCAGGAGGTCGTAGCCGGGGGTCTTGCCTATGCGAGTGCCATATTCCTGGAGCAGGCTGATGGGCGTCTTCCCGGGGTTGGCGGCCAGCATCTGCTCCAGGCTGGGGACAGGGCTGTCACCAGCCCCAGCAGGGGGTCAGAGGGGACCGGTGGGGTACGGATTTGGGGGAGTGGGACAGCAGCAGAGGCTGGCATTGACATGTAGCGTGGGGATGTGGGGACAGCGTGGCATCGCCACACAATATTAGGATATGGGGATGGGGTGGAGACACCACACAGCATGGGGACGTGGGGACAGGGGTGTCACCAGCCCCAGCAGGGGATCAGAGGGGACCGGTGGGGGTACGGATTTGAGGGAGTGAGGCAGTAGCAGAGGTTGGCATTGACATGTAGCATGGGGACGTGGGGACAGCATGGCACTGACATGTAGCGTGGGGACAAGGGGCATTGCCACATGGTGGGCGGACACGGGGGACAGGGGTGGCACCGCCACATGGTGTGGGGACACAGGGGACAGGGGTGGCACCACCAGGCAGTGTGTGGCCATGGAGAAAGGGTGGCATCGCCACATCGCATGGGGACACAGGGACAGGGGTGGCACCACCATGTAGCGTGGGGACACAGGGACAGGGATGGAGCCACCACACAGCGTGGGGACAGGGTGGCACTGCCACGTAGCATGGGGACACGCGGACAGGGGCGGCATCACCATGCAGCGTGGGGACACAGGGACAGGGACAGCACCGCCACATGGATGGGGGCAGGGATGGAGCCCCCACGCAGCGTGGGGACACGGGGACAGGCCTGTACCCACACACACACACAGCGTAGGGGCCCCTTCACACAGGCCCGGTGGCCGAGGGACAACCCCGGAGGCCTGGGGTAGGCCCCAACCTCCCCCTCTCCGCCCGGAGGGGGATAATCCCGGTTTGGGGGGGGGGAA